ACTCTTTAGAACTCAAGCGAGGCTAAGGGCACAATAGAGAAGGCACCTGTGTTTTAATGATCATTTCTGTAGAAACAACAGATGCCCAAAGGTCTGTGACCCACAGCCACTGCAGCTGTTTTCATTCCTCCTAATTATTCTGTTCCATCCTTTTACAAAAGTGTTAATTGAATTAGCTCTATCTGGAAAACCATCTGTAAAAGGGAGGCAAGCCCCTAAGTGACAGAATGTGCAGCAGAAGGGAAAGCGTGTGTGAGAACTCATGTCAGAACCAGTAATGTCAGCATATTCAGGGAGAGGTGAACATGTAGTCCAACAACGCTACTGCTGACCACGGGTCAGTGAATGGTCATATGAACCATAACAGGTGGCATTTTTGAAAGCACCTAAGCGACTTTGGAGCACAATCCCATTGAATTTCACTGGGACTTGTGCTCCAAAGTCCACTTCAGTGCACTTGAAAATACCACTTATATCTTTAACACAGTGAGATCTTGACAAAAGCATGGAGTCTTTTACTTTAATAGTTTACAGAAAGCAATCAAACATCTCAGATGGGAGGAAAAGTGTCCTGAACCAAAGAGGATTAATACATAAACTGATAGGTTGCAGCAGATGATTCCTGAGGAGCCAGTGATCAGCATCTGATAATGCAGAGGAGCCAAGAAGCAAACACCTCAGAGGCCAGTCTTGACCAGATCCAAGGAGAGCAAAATAGTATTACCCTAAGATGTAATGAGACAAGTCTGGGTCAGCATGAGAAGAGAAGCTCAGAGGATTTGACTGACCATCTATCACCTAAACATGTGTCTGTGTTACAGTATTATATAGTAGTCTGTGATAATCTATTAGACCAGTGGTTCCCAAATTTGTTTCGCCGCTTGTGCAGGGAAAGCCCCTGGCATGCCGGGCCGGTTTGTTTACCTGCCGCATCCGCAGTTTCGGCCGATTGCAGCTCCCAGTGGCCGCGGTTCGCTGCTCCAGGCCAATGGGAGCCTGGACAGATGTACTGGCCACCACATTGACCTGGAGCCGCGAACTGCGGCCGCTGGGAGCCGCGATCGGCCGAACCTGCAGACACGGCAGGTAAACAAACCGGCCCGGCTCGCCAGGGGCTTCCCTGCACAAGCGGTGGAACAAGTTTGGGAATCACTGGATTAGACCTCTTCAATTACAGTTATGAAAAATGAGCCTTAAAGTAGACTGACTAATCTAATTAATCATGATGTTTAGAAAGAGTTTTGTTAATCTGAGAAAATGAAAGATGACCCTTATTTAATATTTATATTGTGCAGTAAAGTTTCATTCAGCATGAATATCAGAGTCTGGCTCAGTACACAAAACTTATCCTCACTCAAAAAATAATGGTCTCTTCCCTCTTTTCAGCAAAATTTTAATAGCTGAGTCCTGTAATGTTTCCTACTGTGAAGACTTCATTTGCTATACAAAATACATCACAGAGCGCTTACTACTTCACTGGTATCATCAGTCACTTAAACAAAACTGCTCTTGTCAAATAAATGAATAAAATGCATTTCGTGATGACTTGCCCTGACTTTTGTTGTGTGTTTTGCTAGACTGCAAATTTGCAGAATTAATTAAATTGCAATAGGTCTCCTGTGTATTCATGTGAATTAGTGAAATTCTGCTGTAATACATGGTGTTGAAATTATTATTATGGGGGATACTGCCAGACACTAATTTAACCATAAATTCCTTTATTAAATCCGGAGGCTGAATGGTATTTATACAATTTCTCTAAACATGTCTAAAAGGCTAAATAATAAGTGATTACTACATCTAAACAGTAACAGGCATTCATAAGTATTTGATCAAGATACTCATGAAAGGGCTAAACCCAGGCATGCTTAGCCCCAGGTTGGTCAGCTCCAACTTGATCAGGTAGGTATTAGAAATGAACCCTTCAAGCACTTACCCTTTTATACCTTGTAACAAACAGCTGGAGTAATTGCCAATTGATAACTTTAGCTACAAAACAGAATTGGGGTCACTACTCTTTCAACATGCACATTCCTCCTTTCTAATTAACCATCCTTGATAATTGGGGCTGCTCTTCTATCTTATCAGTTACCTTTCAAATCCAGTTTTTTTAATTAAGCCATATTCTTTCCTGGCCTTTCCACGATTGCTAACAGACCTGCACTTTACATGAGCTACAAAAACATATATTTTTATTTTTAAACTAATTCAATCTTTATATTACTTAAACTACAAAACATTTTTCTTCCTTCCTACACATGGGAAACTTTATAGCTTACTATATTACAGGATGAGACACGCATCATGCAGTGTGCGTGACTGTGATGATACAATGCATTGTTACAGTGTGTGACAGCAGTCTAAAATGCTTGCTTCTGCCCTTCCAATGCACTGACACAATTTGTTACTTTTACCCTCCACCATCAGTAACTGGGCATTTGTATGCGCATGATGGGTAAGCGCTGATTAGATAAAATAAGCAATGATTCACGGCCATACACTGGAGGGCAAGAGCCACAACCTTTAATTATCATTTGAATTTATTTTTTAATCAAGGCTGAATATCTTTCTAAACTTCCAGATTAATTACTATTTTAACATGAGCACTTTTAACTTAGACAAAAGCATTATTAATAGTAAAAGATGTGAACTGTTCACTGAAATATATTAAAGTTGTATTAGGTGCCATTTGTTTTGTTATTAAACTGTTACAGAAATGTAGAGTTTAAGGTCAGAAGGACTGACAGATCATTTAGTCTGACCTCCTGTATGTCACAGGCCACCACCACCCAATGCTTGAAATTAGGCCAAAGCATTACAGCCCCCAGGAGACTAGAGTATTATGTGCCAGAAGCAGAGAATAGGAGGAACTGAGCTGCACCAGTGCCTGAGGCTCCTGCAATGGCAGGGAATTCATTAAGTGAGCTATATCCTGATAACCTTGACCAGTGACCTGCACCCTATGCCATAGAGAAAGGCCACTGCCACTCTGATCTGGGGGGATATTCCTTCCAGACTCCACATAACTGCATACATAATAAAAGTGATTTGTTTCTAGCTGATGGTGAAATGTGAAAACCTTTCGGTGCTTCTTGTCAGCAGGGACAGGCTGGGCAACGGAGTGCACAGGTTTAGTTTCTATGGTCTCGACTCAAGCAGGTACTTAAGCAGGTGCCTGGCTTTAAGCCTCAGAAGTTGCCTTCAGCAGGGTGCTTGACTTCAGAGGGACCACTCCTCTGCTCTGGGCTAGGTACAGGGCCTAAACATTCTGCTGGAACAGGTAAAACTCTTTAGGCCAAATCCTCAGCTTGTGTAAATCAGGGCCTCATTGAGCTGTATTTTGGCAGTGGGTTAGACTATTGCAGTCCCTTTTAACCCTATGGTTCCATGATCTGGTCCCATATTCTTTCCAGCAGGGCGGGCCCTAGGATTTTTCGGGCCCTGTATGAAATAAGAGATGAAGCCCCGCACCCGTGGGCCTGCTGCCAGCAGCACTTTACAAGAGGAAGCACAAGCAGGCAGCTCCCATCCATCCACGACTCTTCCCCTAGCTGGCTTTCTTCTTACCTAACCCATTCTTGACCCTAGTTCTTCTCCTCCCTACGCCCCAGGCTGTCCAGCTAGTGCTCACTCCACCGCCTTCTCCCCTATCGCTCCAGCTGTTCTACCTGCCCCAATAGCCCCTAAGGCGCCAGCTGTTCTCTCCTTCCAAATCCAAGCTGACCCCTGCCGGGCGTGGCCAGAGGCAGGTCTCTGGTGGCTGACTGCAGAGGGTTTTGGGTGTGATCTGGGCGAGAGGGGAACTGAGCACTGCCCCTGCAAGGAGAGGGACCCTGCAGCCTCCTTCCCGCTAGATCCTCAGCTTCCCGTAAGCGGCTGAGCTGCAGCCGCCTCCCGGCTTCACCACCGGGGCCACCCCTGCTGCGGGAGAACAGGCGGCGTCTCCGCACGGGGCTGGCGATCTGCGGAGCAAAAACGCGGACCTGCAGCTCTGCGTCCCTGGGTCCCCCCGGCCCCGTGCTTGGAGGAGCCCGGCGGCTGCGCGGCGCGGCGCGGCGCGGCTCCCTCTCGGCTGCTCGCTCGCTGCTGTAGTGTCAGGCTGGCCCAGGGTCCTAGAGCTGCGAGTTGGTGTTGATTGCAAATAACGGCGCCCTGCTTGCTTGGGCACCTACACGGGGGTGCCACACGCATGTGCGAGCGGAGCGGGCTTCGGGAGCGCCACTAGAGACTCCGGTGCCTGGGGATTCAATGTGCGCTCGCAAGATCCCCCTGCAAGAAATGTGCCGCTGCCGCGCCAGGGAGTGAGAGGGCAGGGGAGCACATCGCCGGTGCGAGGAGCTCGGCCCAGGCTGCCCGGCATGCTGCGGAAGGTAGGAGTGCCCTGCCCCGGCTCAGCGGGCTGGGATCGCTGCAGGGTAGGGAGATCCCCGGCCCCACGGCTGCCCGCCTGCGGGGGTGTCTGACGGACCGGGCACCGGCAGCCAACGAAAAGGGAGCCCAACAGGCAGCTTCTGCTCGGATCAGGATGACACGACCCAGGACTCAGGGGTCTTGGTGCTGGGGGGGGGGTTAGCTGCGGGAGATCTGGGCGCTCTGCCCCCCCGAAACGTGCTCAGCGGGGTCCTTTGGGGCCGAGCCCTCCTTTGCACGCCGAGTTTCCCCGGGAAGGCGCGCTCCGCACCGGCTGCAGGCAGCCTGGGTCAGGGTGTGTGTGTGGCGGGGGGTGGGTCTCCGGGCCCCGGGGAGGGAGGAGCGGGCGCGGGAGCGGCCCCGCGCGCGGCTGTGAGCGGCGCTGCTCACCCACCGCCAGCACGCGGGACTCTGCGCGGAGCGGCCTCCCGGCTGCCCTGTGCGGGTCTGGCCGCTCGGGGGCTCTGCTCCGCTGAGTTCAGCAGCCCAGCGTGAGCCTCTGCCGGAGGCGGCTTCCCAGGCGTTAGCGGCTCGGGCGCTCGGTTTAATGGGGTTCGGGGGGAGGTGTCGTTTCTACACGCAACTAACTCCGGAGTGAAGGAGCGGGGCGCGGGGCTCTGCGGGGTGCAGTTTAACCTCAGGTCACTGCTGATCCCCAAGCGCCGTCAGGAGCTACCGCATCGCGTGTGTCTGGACTAGTCCCTCCGGGGCTGGCGGGTGGCTCCGGCTTGCCGCGCCGTGCTCGCCAGCCCCCGGGGGGGGGGGTGTAAGTGGGGGCCCCCGTGGGTGCATTTTACGCATTGCAAAGACGAGCTTCCCCGCCTACTTCGCACTGGCAGAAGTTTCTGCGCCGTAGAAGTTTTGCGGAAGCCCTGGAGGGTCCGGCTCTGGGCCGGATAACGAGTCCCGGGGTGCGGGGGAGGCGGCGGGATAGACCCCCCGGCCTGGGGGTTGCCGGCGCTGGTTTTCCATAGCCAGCCTCCGCGTGGGCAAAGGCGCACGCCTCCTGAGCGCGCTAAAGCGCGGGAGCCCCGCCTGCTCAGGTGGGGCTGCGGGGCGCCTCGTCCCTTCGCCTTTGCGCAGGACCCGCAGCGCCTCTTCTCCGCTCCCGTCCCGCGCTGCGTCCCCGGGGCTGCCCGGCGCCGGGCGCGCGACCAGCCCGAGCAGGGGTCACCCCGCTGGCTGCTTTAACGGGGCCGGGAGCGGAGCGTGGCCAGGGGCTGCAGGGCTAGCGGGCGGTGTTTGTGGGGCCCCCCTCTCGGTATAGCTCTCATCTGCTCTGAAGCCGCAGCTGGAACCGTTGCTGGGCTGGCTCGGGCTGTTGGGAGCCCTGGTCAGGTGGGGTCAGTCTGTGCGAGCTGTTTCCCGTGTCTGCTGGAGCACTGTGACCGCCGTCAACCTCGGAGGCCGGCGATTGTGCCTGTCTGCAGAGCGAGAGCAGGTGAGCAGGGCAGAGCCTGAGCATTAGCAAAGCACGCTGTCTTCATAGCAGCCCCCAGTCTTGCAACGTGTCACTTCCCTCTAGAACAGCAAATGAGTTGTGCTGTGTGAAATGCACCCGGTAAGCAAAGGGGGAGGGGAAACAAAAGGCAACGGGTTAATCTGCAGTGCTAATGCCACCATGCTAATCAGGTGAACCAGGGAGAGTTTCTCTGCGCTGCACAGTTAGTCCTGGTTTTAGCCTTAAACTCCCCCCTGCTGTCCAAACAAAAACATCTGGCCTGGGTTGGAGATGCATTAAGCACTAGAGTAGCTTGCCTGGCTGGAGGTGTGGGTGAGAGCCTGGCTCTGCCTTAACTCAGGTTAGTAACCCACCCATTGTGCAGTGAGGGACCATGCTGAATCACTCCAGTGCCTTCCCATATTCCCAGTGGTCTGAAACAAGTGTGTGTGGGGTCTGTTGTCATCTGGGCCTAGCAGTTCTGGTAAGAGGGTCCTTAAAGGTGGCCCTGCTGAGACCCAGCTTGATTTTGTATTTATGTATTGAGCCAGGCCTGTGACCCAAGCCTTGGCACCCCGTCCCCTGTTTTAAGCACTGACAGTTCCCCTGGAAAGACAGGACTTGTTCTCCTGCAGTTGACCCAACTGACTGAGAGAAATTTCTGGAACGTTTTTGCAAGAAGAACCATGGAATATGCCCCCATGGTGCCTATAGAAACAGTGAGGACCCAGTAATGTGGGTAGGACTGTATGGGGACACTCACACCCAGGCTAGGCTAAGTTGGGTGCTCAGACCTGGATGCCAGTCACCTGTGTTGACTATGCAGTGTAGACCTAACCAGAGGTTTGCTTAATGTGAACTCTCCAAAATCATCAGAGGAATAAATATTTTTATAGAACTAGTTCCGTACTTAAACTAGGAGATTCACATTATCAGAGATAAAAAGAAAAGGAGTACTTGTGGCACCTTAGAGACTAAGCAATTTATTTGAGCATGAGCTTTCGTGAGCTACAGCTCACTTCATCGGATGCATCTGATGAAGTGAGCTGTAGCTCACGAAAGCTCATGCTCAGATAAATTGCTTAGTCCCTAAGGTGCCACAAGTACTCCTTTTCTTTTTGCGAATACAGACTAACACGGCTGTTACTCTGAAACCTGTCATTATCAGAGATGAAAGTGTTGAGGGTCACTAAAGCCATAGTAAACCCACAAGTCTGATGAACTTTCCCACTCACATCTGAAGCCTCTTCCAATTAGTTCCTTTTAGATTTTAGTTGCCATGACTGCAGGTACTGAAACTGATGTTACTTTTGCAGGGTCTGAGTCAGCTTGGCAGCACATGCTATTGCTTATGGCATTTGGGAAGCTTGAGAATGTGAAAAGGGCTCTGCCTCCAGGCCCCACAGCTGGCTAAAAATCTTACTATAAATGGGAGGCAAATCCAGCTGGTCAAGGGCTTGGTGTGGCATGACTGGAGTTGGTGAAAGCCGCTCCTGTGAGCGAATTGCTGGGTAGGAGAAGATAAGGTCTTGAAGCAGCCACCTGCAGGGACTGTTGGGGCCTGGCCTTTCTGCATGGGTCTGTTGTTCGTTGCACAGCCACAGATTATTTCATTGTTGTAGAAGCTCATGTATGAAGAGATTTCAGGAGATTGGACAGCTCTTCATTGCTCACGCTGTGCAATAGCTGCTTGCCAGCTAAGGCCATTTACTTCAACGTGCTCACAACGCGCATTTTACTGTTAGTGGAGAAGGAGAGAGGTAGAGAAGAATAATGTGCAGGTGTGAATTGCAGCTTGATGCTGCTGCGTGGCTGTCCTCTCTTTTGGGCCTGATCCAAAGCCTGTTAAAGTCAGTGGAGACTTGTGATTTGATAAGCAGGAGCTTTGGATCAGGCCCTTACAGCTCTTAATTTATTTTTCTCAGTTGTCCCTCCTTACCGGTGCAAGTTTAACTCTGGGCTGTCCCAAGCTGGAGTTCCCATAAGTACTGAAAATTGGTTCCATCAGGAAGCTGATAGTGTAAAAAAGCATTATTAAAGGAATGATCACATATCCATTTGGGCTTCGTGATCTGCTCTTTCTTGTTTCCTCATTTTGTGGTGGTGACGCATGTTTTGCGATGCATTTAGGGCTCAGTTAATGTTATGCATTTAAGCTTTGGGTAACTACAGCACCTATCGGTAGCTGAAGCTGCAAAGCAGTCCACTGAATTCAGGACTGTCAGTCATTAAACCTCTTCTGTACCTGCTGTGCGGTGATGATGAAGGTATCCTGGTGTCTTCTCCAGCACTTTTCTCTGTACTAGGCTGGAGTTTGATGGTTGCACTCAGTCTGGCAGTGCATAGCCAAGGCAAAACAAACAAGATGATTGAGGCTATCTATTTTCATTGTTTGTTTTTACTTTCCTAGCTTAGGGCAGTTGGCACATTCTGCTTCACTTCCTTCATTCTGAAAAGGCACCCTCCGCTTTTACAGAATCCTGAAATGTGCCAGTAGTAACCTATTTTACAAATCCCTCCAGGGTGCATTTTGTATCATTAAAGTGTAGCTCATGGACAGATTGGTCAAGAGAGCTCTAAAAGAAAGCTCACTAATTCTAGCCTGTCAATGTGATTAATGTGGAGCAATTAATTCATTTGTTGAATTTCTCCTTTCCTCCCCCCCCCCACCCCTCCACCTCCCTTTTTCCTAAGAAAGAAATGCAACTTTAGGCCCCTAACTTTAAATTGTGAACATCAAAGTCCAGATCCTGGGTTTGGCAAAGTGAACTGCATGTAGCACCGGGGGGAGTTATGGGTTATGTCAAGGTTCCTTCCCCACTCTGAACTCTAGGGTACAGATGTGGGGACCTGCATGAAAAACCCCCTAAGCTTATTCTTACCAGTTTAGGTTAAAACTTCCCCAGGTACAAACTATTTTACCTTTTGCCCTTGGACTTTATTGCTGCCACCACCAAGCGTCTAACAAATATATAACAGAGAAAGAGCCCGCTTGGAAATGTCTTTCCTCCCAAAACCTACACCCCCTTTCCTGGGGAAGCCTTGATAAAAATCCTCACCAATTTGCATAGGTGAACACAGACCCAAGCCCTTGGATCTTAAGAACAATGAAAAAGCAATCAGGTTCTTAAAAGAAGAATTTTAATTGACAAAAAAGTAAAAGAATCACCTCTGTAAAATCAGGATGGTAAATACCTTACAGGGTAATCAGATTCAAAACATAGAGAATCCCTCTAGGCAAAACCTTAAGCTACAAAAAGACATAAAAACCGGAATATACATTCCATTCAGCACAACTTATTTTATCAGCCATTTAAACAAAACAGAATCTAACGCATATCTAGCTAGATTACTTACTAGCCCTTCACAGGAGTTCTGACCTGCATTCCAGTGTTCTGGAGGGTGACAAAGTTGATGATGAACAACTACGTGAAGAGCCTTTCAACAGATCATGTTCTTTTTAATAAATACTTTTGGTTCGAGTGTGTGGTGTCAGAGGAGGGCTTACATTTAGAGCTTAGATGGTGTAATTACCTTTCTCTCCTGGCTTTAGGCTGGGATTTTTGGTGTATTTTATTGTATTTATTAACAGAGCTGGTCTTTTTACAATTTAAATAGAGAGAAACTTAGTACATACACAATTATAAATTGGCCTGTGGAAGTCCCCCTACCAAGTCGCTTTCTTTGTTTGTGATAGTGATCATATATTGTGGTTGCAGCTTTTCTTCTCAAGTCTCACTCTTCTGCCTTGTCAGCTGATAGTGTCAGTCTTTCATTGTCTTGTGATTAGATCTAGAATTCTGCTTTTCTTACATTTAGATGCATAATGTATTTATTAGTTGTCCTGTCAAAACTCTACACAATATTAAGATTTCTCCTTTTTTTTTAATCCCATCTCTTTCCCCTATTTTAATAGCTTGACTTTAAGTTTAAATTTAACTGTTGTTGAAGGAGTTTCTGCCTTCCTTGGTATTCAAAGAAAGTTCTCAAACTACTAGGTTTGGTGGTGGGTGATGACTCTCTTCCAGCAAACTCAGAAGTCTGGTGGAACTCTTTTGAAGTAGTTATCTTTTTCCCTTCTACAATGTAAGACTCTGACTTGAAGATTTTCTAGTACCAGAATTTCCCACACTCTTTGATACAAATTAACAGATTTAGGGAAGTTACTATAGTGAGGTGGTGGAAAAGGAGTAAGTCTGGCAGAAGCTAGAAAATGAATGATCAATTTTTATGGCTTTTATAAGATGCATAGTTTTCAGGATAATTTAATAAAAATACATTATCTGACAGGGGGATAAAAGGGTGTCATCTTATGGAGTCTCCGACAGCTTTCCAAAAGGTCTTAATTTTTTGGCACATCCCCCATTTATGGAGAACTCTTCCCATTTCATTACATTCTCTCCAGCATTTGCTAATCCCTGTACTGTAACTTAATTTTAAGGGTAGTTGGGTACCACTGATAAAAGAAAACTACATTAAAATTCTATTAATGTGTTTAAGTGTGGGGACCCTGGTGCCATATGTTCTCACACCTCAGTTAGTGTCTGTCAACTTTCCATCATTTCATGAACATAGTTTTGTCCTTTACAAAGCAATCTCTAGATGTTACTTATAGAATGGAGAGTAAGCCATTTTGTTTTATGGATGTAGTGAGTGTTTTTCAAATTCTGTCATTTTATGTTTGCCATTTTGTGAAAAATGTCTAAATTGTAGGTATTGATATACTGAAATTTTGGTGTCTCTTGCAAGTTGTATTTCATCAAGTGATCTAAATATATTGTCTCTAAACAGTAGGCTGAATTTTGATATACCCGTGAGGTCCCAAACGTCAAAACTTCCCAGGCTTTCGGTTTAAATTCTGTATTATCTACTATGGGTGTTAGAGGTGATGGGTATGGGCTTAGTTTTTTAAATAAACTATACCAAGTTTCTGCTGTTGCTTTCATAAAAAGGTGGTTATATTCATTTTATCCCATGGGATTTCTTGATCCAGGCGATCA